TGGAGGGTCATGGAGAGAACAGTGTAGCACAGAGAAGGCACATAGTGAATCTGTGGCATCTTGCTGCACTGATGGACAGTGACTGCTTTGGAGTATGGGTGGGGACCTGATAATATGATAAATGTAGTAACCACATTGTTTTTTCATGTGAAACCTTCATAAGAGTGTGTATCAATCATACCTTAATAAAAATTTAAAAAAAAAAGAATTGCTTGAAAATATTTAGCCTAGCTTTTCTCATTACATTGGCTCAGAGGGAAATGAAAAATAATACCAATCTGAATTCTAGATTCTAGAATGCTGATTTCTTTGGCCAATTCTTTCCTGGTAGTTATTCCATGATAGGTCAAACTGTGATTGGAAGGTAGCCTTTTTTTTTTTTTTTTGGTATCATCATTAATCTACAATTACAGAAAGAACATTATGTTTACTACGTTTCCCCCTTCACCAAGTCCCCCCCATGGAAGGTAGCCTTTTGACTCTGGTTTAAAACAATCGTCTTTGTCTGGACTCCCTTTGTAGTAGTCTGATGAAGAAAAAAAAGATAAAGGAGTGTGAAGGTGTGTTTATATGTTAAAAATTGTGGGGTGAATACATTATTTTGACTCCAGGTTGAAAGTCTGTACATCCAGTGATGGCTATATATTTTCACTTTAGGAATAAAGTAAAAGCCATGCTAATATGTACATATTGGTATAAATATATATTTTTAAAGGATGATAAACAATAATCTAAGTATATGAAGTAAGAGCTTACAGAAAATCCACAATATTACATGCAAAGAAACTAGGCAATAGGAAGCAATAGAAACTAGGCAAATTCATGAAACTAAATGAAACAACTATCATGAAAAAATTAAAAGGTTAAATAACAAAAATCGGTGCTTGGGAATAAATAACATTTTAATAAAATTAAATATAAAATGTGAAATTTACTTTTTTTCCTCCAATGAAATGTCAACTTTAACAGTTTAGGTAAAAGACCCATGTATGGGATCCCTGTCTGCCATCTTAAATTTGAAATTCCAATCCAAATTTCAAAGCACCTATCAATCCTCCTGCCCTGTCTACCATGAAAAACAGCACCCTCCAAAAACATACCCCCTCAATCATGGTTGTGATTTAAACTTTCATGAACTCTGGAGAATAAATAGGGCTTTTGGAGAATAAGGAAAATAGTGAGGCTGATGGGATTATTACCAAGTCCAAGCTTTTGCCACTCACCACATTACATGTTAATAAATCAAGAGACAAGGTGTTGGGGCAAGGAAAGCAACTGAGAAGATGGTGGACTAATGACCTAAAGAACCATCTTAATTAAGGTTGATTTCAAGCTTCTTTTATATTAGGGCAGAAGGGCGAAGGAGGAAGTCGAGGTCAAAAGGTGATGATCAAATCTTGTGTGGCTTCTTGTCCTTGGTTAGTTGGCTCCAGTCACTTTGCTGACATGTTTAGCCATGATGTTCCTATTAGTCCTTCACAGTTTAGTCATCATTTCTGTACACTTTTTTAATCTCCTAATTTTCATCATTTTTGTAATACTTCTTTTTATCTCCCTGGAGGAAGTGAATTTTGGGTAAGGGATTGGTTGCATCAGTCTTAAGCCATTAGCAAAATTCCTCTTGATGATTAACAAGGCTACATGCAGGGCTGAGCAGAACCTTTTTGACCCAAAGATTAAGCAAGGAGACAGATACAGTATGATGGCAGAAATGCCAACCTTTTTCACTCTGTTACAGGAACTTACAATTTGAAGTTTGGAAGTAATTTTATTATATACAATCAAATCGAAAGTGCACATACCCTTCAACACAGCAATGAAAGGGCACTTGAAACAGTAGGAAGGCTCAGTAGTGAGTTTCCATGAGTGGTTAAAAAAACAAAAAGCAGGATTCAACTACAGTTGACCCTTGAACAACATGAATTTGAACTACATGGGTCCACTTATACACAGATTTTTTTTCAGCTAATATATTGTAACAGTTTTTGGAGATTTGTGGCAATGTAAACTCAGATGAATTGTGCAGCCTAGAAATATTGAAATATTGAAATATTGAAAATTTTAATTTGAAATATTGAAATATTGAAAAAATTAAGAAAAATTTAGAAATATATGTAAATACGAGTCTGTTTTGTCATTTACTATCATAAAATACTATCATAAAATTTACCTGACAACTGAAGGGACTATGTTGACCTGATGGGCAGGAACCACAAGCTCATTCTTGACATGTGAGTTCCCAGTTCTCAGGTGCTGGGTCAGAGAGCAATGGAATCCCTTTGTTGCGTGCCTGTGCCACACCCAACCTCCCACCCCTGGGTTGGATGTGGCTGTCAATGTGGAAATAAGCCCTAGCTCAGACCGAGCTCCAACCCCAAACCTCTAACAGCTCCCACTTGGACTTCTCTTGTCACAGGTGGGAGTCTGAGAGCTGTGGGGACAATGTGGGCAGCAGCCACAGTCTCCCAGGAGCATGCAGATGCTTTTTGACAGAGCGCTACAAGGACAGAAGAATCCACTATTCAAGTCTGGGTCTGGAGGCTCCTCTGGCCAGCCTGGCACTGGCATCAGTGAACCCTACTCTTAGTATTCCCTTTGGCCTGCAGAAATCCAGTCCACAGTGCTACCTGGGTCTTTCTAAACCTCTCTCAAAGATAGAAAAGAATAGAAAGTACAAGTGTTAAGTTGTAAAATGCAGAATACATTACTACATATACTTCTAGGCATGTTAAGATTTTGAATGATTTTATGGCAATAAATGTGAGAACTTAGATGAAATGGACATATTCTTGGAGACATTCAACTTGCCAAAAATGACTTGAGGAGAAATGGCTGTCCTGTAATCATTCAAAATATGGAATTATTGGCCCAAAATCTTCTCATAAAATGAACTTCAGGCCCAGGCAGATTCACCAGAAAATTTATTCAATGAAGGAATGAATTTTTACATAAGATTTTAGAGAATTCCTAATTCATTCCAAGGCTAATTTAAAGTGACCCAAACCCCTAAAGGTAGTGACAGCAAAGAAAATTATTAAAGGTCATCTCATTAACGAACATAGATATCATGATTTTAATCAAAGTATTAGCAACCTAACCCAGAAATACATAATGGATATATCATGACCTAGTTGAATAATTCCAAGAGCATTCTTTAATATAAGAAAAATCTAGTTAAATCACCATGTGAACAGGTTACAAGAGGAAAAAACATCTTATTATGGCAATCATTGGAAAAGCATTTAAAAACTTCAAAATCTGTACAAGGGAAGGAAACAATAAATTGGGAATAAATGGCCACCTCTTACAGAAACTGATAATATACAGTATAACAAATACCATGCTGAATGTGAAACTGGGAAACATGGACAGTGATGTCACCTCTTACTATTCTGATTCAGTATATTAGGACTGCAGCTTTGGCCAATGCAATAAAGTTAAGAAAAATAAGTGAATAAGGATCGTATAGAAACAAAAACGCACTAGTGGAAGATGTAATTGCATACATATGAAATCCAGTGAAAGAGACGGCAGATTTATTCATATTTATAAGCTATGTTTCATGACATATAAAATGTATTCTTTCATTTTCCTCCTTGCCCAACTGCAACTCTCAATAATTCAGTGAATATAAACACATTCTATGTTTTTATATCTTTGCTAGGAATGTATTTATGAGAATCTGAGAATAATCAATATTTGCTGCTTTATGCTTTATATTCATAATTATCATGCTATAATTCGAATTAGGCAACTTGATTTTCACTGAACATTGTATCCCAGCACTCTTTCAATTACACAGATCTAGTCTATTATTTTTCACTCTGCCAGCTTACTATTTTATATGTCTTATTTGGAGCTCTGATCTATAAGCACATGCAAGAGTTTCTCTGATCTATAAGCACATCTAGTAGAATTGCTGGGCATTTGCAATTTCAATAACTATTCCTAGTGGTTATCTAAATTATGCAAATCACACCATTGGATGTGCATAAGAGTTGCTATTTCCTTACCTACTCTCAATCTTATTATAGTAACAGATGGGAGATATTTTACAAAGTGAAGTAGATCTATCTGCTATATTACCTTGGGAAAAAGATGTACAAGACGTGTTTTATTATGAAAATTAGCATGACACAATTTGAGTTAAAAATATATGAAATAAATATGCAAAACGTTACACAGTGTAGGACAAACCATATTAAACTCTTCACAATTGTTACTTCAGGAATATGAACTTGGAGTGCAAGAATAAGAGCCTTAGCTTTTCCTTTACAACTTGAAATACTGTATTACTTGAATGATCGTAACCAGAATATATTGTTTTGTTATTAAATATTTTCAAGAAAAAAATGGAAAGAAATAACAAAGATCACTCTACCACTGGTACGCTTTAACATAAATCTCACTTGGAGGCAACTCTGATATTTGGGAAGAAATGATTCTCCTCTTAGATACTGTTGTGTGAGTGGGCCGCCCAGTATGGTGTGGACACCACCACCTGCCCAGATGTATATGACAGCCCTGGCAGGACCTGCTCCAACTGACAGAAAACTCTGAAACACTTGAGACATGATTCTAGATCCTAAGGCTCAAAGTTATGAAAACCATTTCAGAGTTGGTTCACAGATACCAGGCTTTCCCTCAGAAACCAGGTTAACACCATGGCATTCAGATATGCTCAACTGGGTCCTCTCAGATCTTGTGACATCTTGTTGCTCCACATCCACAGGTGACTGGGTCACAGCACTCTGGATTCCCCCAGGAAGCGGCTCTCATCTCAGGGGGTTGGTGAGGGCTGTACATGGGCTCCTCTCCCAGGGGCTCTTTGGAGTGCAACAGCTGGGCCTGCAGCTCCATCGGGAGTTCTTGCCTTAAAAGGGAAAGGGTGGCTTCAGTGAATGGGCTGCCTTTGAGCTGTACAGAGCCCAGGCTGATGTTGGGGTGTCCTCCACAGTCACGGCTTTGGTGGGGCTAGCTGCAGGACATACGGCTACTGCCATGGTTCCCAAGTAGACAGCTCTGCAGTGACAGCCTTGGAGGCCTCATCCAAAGGTTGCTGTACTAGGGTCCTTCATAGTCTTGTACTTCTTGCTGGGTATCTTGCTTTGAAAGGAAGATAGTATCTGGGGCAGGTACTGTACAAGAACCTTTCTTTTGAAGCACAACTGGCTTCAGATTTGGTAGCTGCTGTTGCTTGATGGTCATCTTGCTGCCTTTGTATTCGTTGGTTTTGGGCTCCATAGTCTTACCCAGCTTTTTCCACAATGAATTGCACATTCAGGGGCTATAATGCTGGTGGACACTGCTGCCTACAAGAAGAGATCAACAGCTCATGGAGCTTTCCTGAAGTTAGTACTTATGCACTGGCTCTGAAAGGCCTTTGTCTTGGACTGCTGTATGGATGACTGGATAAACTATGGCTGTTCTTTCTGAAGCTTAGAACCAATATAATGGAGCCACTTTCTTGGTCCCAGAAGCAGACCTCTGCAGATCCCTCACCCCAAAGCTGCTGCATTTGGGATTTAGGTCACTGCAGCTCTCTGTGTATCTTTCCCAAGAGGCACTGACAGAAACCTGACCACTACTAGCTTGACAAATACTCATCCTGCTGCTGTGACTGAGAGAGGATGCGTGCCTGCTGCCCTCAATCACTGTAATTCAGGTGTAATAGAAGGTGATTCTGGAAGCACAGTCTCTCTTAATTATGCTGCAAATGTTGAGCTGCTCTAGAGGAATCAGCAACTATTTCACTGCTGTCCTTGAAATAGTGAGTAATGACAAGGGGCATCTGCTCCTGCTCCCTCTTCCCTGCACACTATTAACAGTGCAGAACAAGGGCCTTGTTTTCTGGCTTTCTGCTTGCTCAGGTCTGTCCCTCTAAAAACATTGCACAGAAAAGATAGGAGGATGAAGAAAGAACACTGATCTGTAGCTGTAAAATGAATAGGCAGGACAAAGTCTACTTCCCATGTCACCTTGGTACTCCAAAGCACAGCTTGGTTCCTTTTTAATGTCTGGAATCAGTGTCAGCTGAGCCATCCTGTTGACTGGGAACCCTCCATGTCTCTGGAGAACAGCCAACTTTACCGAGTAGGGGAGATTCTGCTGGGGCATCTTGGAGGCTTAAAAGCAAATGATGCTGGACAGGGAACTCATGTCGTTTCCTAGCAGCAAATATTATGTGTCTCTCTCTAGGTGGTAGTCGGGCTCTTTTGTTCTGATACCAGTTCTAAAAAGAAAAGAAAATAGCATCTATCAAATTTATTGATGTGGTATTATTCCGCAATGCACTTGTGTAATATGGGAGAGAATTTTGTAGCTAAGCCTAATTTCAGCATTATCACTGATTTTCTTCCTGACCTTGAATAAGACATGAAAAATAAGGGCAGTCCTTCCTGAGGCTGCATGTAGGATTATGGAAGTCATGCAGTGCATGACTGCAAAATCCCAACCAGCTCCACAGTTGGTAGTGGCACTTCTGACATGTGGACCTAGGCCTTCAAAATCTGCCCCCAAACCTGTAATCTCTTGCATTTAAAGGAATTGACTACCAGCTGCTCCCTAAACACACTGAAGTTTTTTCCACATCTTTATTTTACTCCAGCTGCACACCAAAATAAGTTTATGGCTCCATATATTCGAAGTTATGTTTTTAAATTTATTATTTTGAAAGGCTACACATGAAGAGTTTGAGTCATAACTGTATAGTTAATATGTGACCCTCAGTATTCCATTAACACCTCTGGTCTCCATTTTTTTTTAATTCTCCCTAAAATGAGGATACTTATTCATGCCAACCAGAATCCCCAGGTCTTTGGGGAAGGTGGAAATGATAAAATGCTTTTTTTAGACAATCCATCCTAATAAACCATGGTTGCTGTAAACAGATGGAGCCATGAAGTGTAGGCCACAGTGTCTGGGGGCCGTTTGCCACTGTTCACTTCTGGAACCACATCCATGAACTTCCTGTTAGAAATCTATCCCTTTGAGAAGTACAGAGGATTTTTGAAATTGAATAAAAAGTAGCTTCACCTTGAGAAATCCAGTGGTCCAGAAATGTAAAGAAAACACAGTAGAAGAGTATTTAAATATTTGACCAGCCTTTCAATTCCTTCCTAGTTAGTACCTTATCCAGATTTTCTGTTTACTTGTATGAATACATTGATTTGTATTTTCCTTGAAATGTTTCCAGCTCATGAAACTTAACATAACATAGTTATTAACATAGCATTTACCTTTTCTTTTATCCTCAAAAGCTACTCTTAATTCCCTTTCTTATTTTCCCTAAGATGATTTTTTCCTATTGTCAAGCAACCAATAAATTCAATCATCTATAGACAATTATAGAACAAAGAAAACATGGACATTTTCTTAATTGTATGTATACAAAACCAATACAACTCCAGTAAAATTTCATGCAGCTATTACCAATCACTTCCAAAACAATCATATCAGAGATTCCCAAATAAAATGCTGGTTCATGCAACAAACGGTTTTGAAGCACCTACCCAAGCTGTGGGGGATGATACCAAGAGGTAGACCTATCAAGCCAAGTCCATCTCCTGCTTCAGAGATGTGTAACAACTTGTTACCATCTCCTCTTGGGAAGTTTAATTGGCATGCCAAACTGAACACGTCCAAAGTGAAACTCCTAATGCCTGTGGAATAAAACCACTCCTTTCTCATGTCTCCCCTATCTTAAAGGCAACTCCAATCTTCCATTCTCTTAAGGTCTATGTTTTGCGTCCCTTCTTATTAGATATGTAGTGAGAGAATGCAGAGATCTCTTAGCAATCATATCAGCTCCACTTTCAAAATGATAAATGTCTTCCCAGTTCTCTATACTTCCACAGCCAGCAGCCTGGTCTAAACCATTGTTGCCCCTAACCTAGATAACTCTCATAGATTCTTAACTGGTCTCTGCTTCTAGACTTGTCTTGCAAGACTGTTTTTCCATAAAACACACAACATATTCATATCCACATTAAGATGAACAAAAAAAGTGACTTGATTTGTCCTTTGTGATGAAATGGTATTACAAACACTCTCTAATTCTTTATCTTTTCCATATTGTCTACAAAAAGACATATATATGCAAAACTTTGAATATTTCACTTACATCAATTACATACACTTGACAGTGGAGTTGTTCAGCCAATTCTTTTCTAGTGGTAAAATCAGGATATGGATTTTCTTCAAATGCCAGATTAAGTATATGCAATTCATCCTTAGTAAATTTATGTCGTGGTCTCCCCTTTTCTTTTCCCCATTTTCTTTTTTTCACTTCATTATAACCATATTCTTCAATTGGAGATCCTGAGAAATATATAGAGAAAAGCATTAGGAAATACTGGTAGCAACTAGAAAAAGAAAAGACTGTTCACCGGTTACCATTCATAAAACAAGATTTTCTGAGAAGTGGAGCCCTTCCTCATACCTATTTATAATAAAATATAAAGGCCAATATTTAAAGTTATGATGAAAAATGAGATTTATGACCTCCAGGGTAGGGAAAGATTTCTTTAGTCTAACAAAAAGTCACACTACAAAGGAAAAGACAAAAAAAATTCTAAGCCTCATTAGTAATTGAAGACATACAAATAAACCAGCTCACACCCATCTGGAAACCAACAATTTAAATGTATGGTGGTGGAGCTGGAAAGAATGATAAAGATTAAAGAATATAGGAAATCAACATCAGGGTTAATTTATCAATTGTTAGAACTTTGGAAGTAATTTTATTATATACAATCAAATCGAAAGTGCACATACCCTTCAACACAGCAATGAATGGGCACTTGAAACAGTAGGAAGGCTCAGTAGTGAGTTTCCATGAGTGGTTAAAAAAACAAAAAAGCAGGATTCAACTACAGTTGACCCTTGAACAACATGAATTTGAACTACATGGGTCCACTTATACACAGATTTTTTTTCAGCTAATATATTGTAACAGTTTTTGGAGATTTGTGGCAATGTAAACTCAGATGAATTGTGCAGCCTAGAAATATTGAAATATTGAAATATTGAAAATTTTAATTTGAAATATTGAAATATTGAAAAAATTAAGAAAAATTTAGAAATATATGTAAATACGAGTCTGTTTTGTCATTTACTATCATAAAATACTATCATAAAATTTACTATCACAAAAATTATAAAAAGTTAAAATTAATCAAAACTTACACACATAAACACTTCCAGACCATACATGGTGCCATTCACAGGTCAAGAGAAATGTAAACAAATTGTCACAAATCTCCAAAATATTTTCCAATATAGTTATAGAAAAAAATCCAGGAATAAGTGGACCTGAACAGTTAAAATCTGTGTTGCTCAAGGGTCAAGATAGTCTATAAGTAGTTAAGTTTTGGGAGACTCAAAAGTTATGCTCAGATAAACTGGAAAAACTTATTATCCACATGCAAATGAATGAGACTAGACAGTTACCTGTACCATTATACAAAACTCAAAATGGATAAAAGATCTAAATGCAAGAACTATAAAATTGTTATAAGAAAAGAGGGCAAAATATTCATGACATTATAGGTGGCAATGATTTCTTAGATATGACACTAAAAGCACAAGCAACAAAAGAAAAAATAAGTTGGAGTACATCAAAATTTAAAACTGCATCAAAAGGTACAATCAATAGTTTGAAAAGGCAATCTAAGGAATGGCAGAAATATCTGCATATCATATCTGATAAGAGGTTAATATCCAGACTGTATAAAGAGCTCCTACAAATCACGAACATTAAAATAAGCAACCTGATTTTTAAAATGGACAAAGGACTTGAATATTTCTCCAAAGATATACAAACAGCTATTAAACATATGAAAAAATGTTTAATATTACTAATCACTAGGGAAATGAATAAAAAACACCAGGAGATACCACCCTATACCCATTAAGATGACTACTATAAAAAACAGAAAATAACTAGTGTTGCCCAGGCTGTGGAGAAATTGGAACCCCTGTGTACTGTTGTTGGTGGGACTCTAAAAGGGGGTATCACTATGGACAACAGTCTGTCAGTTTCTCAAAAATTAAAAATAGAATTACCTAACAATACAATTGGTAGTTGCCATTCCACTTTTGGTCATATACCCAAAAAAGTGAAAGCAGGGATTTGAACAGAAATTTCTACACCCATGTTCATAGCAGCATTATTCACAGAAAAATTCAATGTACCAGAATTTAAGCAGTAACACACGTCTTCCCTGAGGAATATTCTAGAAGATGAGCTTTGTCCAACCAAAAGTCAACTGGAAAACTTCACAACAGAATGGTCAGTGAACATTCCATATATTTTATTGTACAACTAAGACTACAACAATGGTGGGGTTTTGGATTAAAAATAATATGTAAACAAATCAAAATTCAGATTTGTTTACATCAATAAATCAGACAAACCACTAGTAAATTAATCGTGAAAAGTTGAGAAATAACACTGCTGAGCTGCATACTTAAGAATTGAGATGTTAAATTGTGTTTTTTAGCCACAATTTTTTAAATAAATAAACTGACTTTTTTAAAGGTGTGAAAGCACAAATACAGGAAATGAAAAAAGATGAGTTTAATGCCTCCTTTCTACCAACAAGAAACTAATTTACAATCCCTATGCAAAGCATTAAAAACTTAGAAGGAATTAATAATGTTTTAGATAAATACAGTACCAAAACTGACCCCAGTAAAGATAGAAAGCATAAACAGATTGATTTCAATAGAAGAAAATTACCAAGTAACTGCCCCAGAAAAAAAGAAAAAAATGAGGCAGGGATGGTTTCACAGAGGAATTCTACCAAATAGATAGTCCTAATGCTACATAAACTATAGAATAAGAGCAATGCTCATCTATTAGTAGGAATGTAAACTGGTATCACCATTTTGATAAAGTTTGGACACACTAATAGATTTAAAAATAGGAATAACATATGACCTAGCAATTCCATTCCTCAGATCTACCAATAGAAATGTGTGTGCATATGCAATAAATTATATATACAGTGACATTTCTAATATTACTTTTCTTTACAGACCTAAAACAAACACCCAAATTTCCATCAGGAGCATAATAGATAAATGAATTGCAACATACTTACAGGATGCAATACTAGATTAACAGTAAGAATGGACAATCTGCAACTATATGGATGACTCTCACAAAAAATATTAACAACAAAAGATGGTAAAAGAGTACAGATTGTATGATTCCATTAACATAAAGTAAAAGCCCAGGCAAATTTATCTATGCTCTATTTAGAAGTCAAGATGGGGGTTGGTCAGTGAATGGAAGGAAGGACCATTTAGCCTTCTCAGGTGCTGGTCACATTTCCTTCCCTTTCTTAATCTGTATGCTCATTAAGTATGATCAATTTATGAAAACAGAACAGCAACACAAATACATAATATGATAAAGTAAGGAAGAGAACTTTGTGCTGTTGAAATCAGTATGAACTCAAGATTTAAAAATAAAATTCTATTTTCTGTCCACTGGAGAGGTCTAGAAGCAATGAAAATGCCAGTAATGATGAGTCCACATTATTCCCAGACCTTTTAAAATATTCATTATTATGAGAGAAAGGGAGAAGAGGAGAAAGCTTAAAGAAAAACAACACCTAAAACAAGATAGAAGAAATTATAAACATTAGAAATCCCCATTTTGCAATCCTCAGTGCATTTTATTGATCCAGACAACCATCATAAATGAATGCTAAAATCATTGAATGAAAGGTCATTGAAGAAACATATTCACCTGTTCTCAAAGTATCACAGATAACTTGCTAATTATAAAAAGGAAATATATATCTTCAGTCGGGAGATATGGAGGTCACACCCTTAACCAACTGAGCAAACCAACTCTTGGAAAATCTGACTTTACACCTGCTACTGTGATTGCATACAGAGGGACACAACATCACCTGTGTGAGCTCCTGAACTAATCAAATAGTTGCATTTTTCTTCCATTTCACTTTGTTTCTACTTTCTCAGGTAAAAAGATGGCACATATGTTAAGAGAGGGCTAATTATCAGTAGAGAAACCATTGGCATTTTGAGACAATTCTTTGTGAAAGGCTGGCTCACACACTGCCACATGGAATCACTGATTCCTTCCTACAAAGTTGCTGGTAGTAGCCTTCAGTCATGATAATAATCAGTATCTGCCCCCACACAGTTCCAAATATTGGTTTAGTTCTATTCATCCCTTCCTAACTACTACTACATGAGTCACTGCATTTTGAGTCTCTGTTTCTCCACATGATAACAAGGTCTAAGAGGATCTATATGGGGTTATTAAAAACAATTAGATGAATTCATGAATGCATTTTCAATAAATCCTTATTCATGCTAAGAATACAATAATCCTTTCCTCCCGTAAACTCATAGACTATTGGGAACCTTGGCCATTTTGTGCTCCAGATCACCCAGAACCCAGAACCAAAGGTGATAGCCCTGGATCTGGGAGATAAGATAGAGGCTAATTCCTGGCCCTGCTGAATCTCTATTCCTATCAGCTAAGTGTGGAAAAGACCCAAGTCTGAAAAAATACCAACCTGGCTTGAAAAAAACACCACAGCAATCAAGGGCAGATTAAAGATTATTTAAATGGAAAAATTACCCTGCAATTTCTAAATCTGAAATTCCTCATTAAGAACTCTTCTTCACTTTTTAAACAAAGAGACAGATTTGGAGACTCTCAGGCTGCAGAGAGAGGACTATCTAGGGAGAACAGCTTACAACCTGTAATAATAAATACCTCATCCTGCTGGAGTGTGAAGATTAGATTAGATAAACTAATCTTCAATGGACAAGGCATGTCTGAAATCACAAATAATGGTAATTTCCCTCCCAATGCCCATAAATGTTTCCTTAGTGAACACCAGGAAATGAGGACAACATGGGGTGATCCCTGCACATACTGGAAGCTAACGAATCCTCAAGGGAGGCTGGTAATCTCATCCGTGCTCAGCCTAATCCCATAATCAAAGAGAGAGGATCAAAAGGCAATTAGAGAAAGAAGCCCTAGTTTTTGTAAAAATCCATTTGTCTAGGACAAACCTTCTCCACTTTCTCGTGACCATGAGCATGTCCTTTCACCCCTCAGAGACAGAGGGCTCTCCCATAAATAGTTTACTCCGATTGTCATAATTCTTACGAGTGTCATAATTCCTACGTAGGGTAGTAGGGAAATTACTATTCATTATCTTGGAAAGTAACAGAAGTGGAAGGAATGCATTGCCCAAGGGCATAAGCAGTGAGAAGCAGAGGCTATCTCTGGTGGCAGCCACACCACCCTGAATGAACCATGTGATCTTGGAAGCTAAGCAAGGTTTGGCTTGGCCAATACTTGGATGGGAGAAGGAGGCAGAGGGAGGAGGTCAGACCTAATTTTTGGCCAGGTATTCAGTGCTCTCACCTGCACCTCAGATAAGGGAGGAGGTGGATTCCCACACCAACTCCATCAAAGCTTGTCTGAGCCCAAGAGATTTGTCTAGCCCAACAACTCTTAGTCTACTTCTTTTTGGTGATTTTTTTAAATGTATGTTTTCAGTATGAGAAACACAGGAAAAAAGAGTAAATTAATCTCAGTCATAATCCCACACACTCTTAGGAATTAATTAAATTTGAATAGAAGTCTCCCATCCTTCCCATCAAGTCTCCCTGAAATACAAGCATATTAAATTTTGTCTGAAGGCCTGAAGGACAATCTCCTTCACGGAGAAGATGTACAAAGTATTTCATTACAACAATGAGCTATGGAAGGTATATTTAAATCCTTGATCCTTGGCTAAAATAACAGGTGGTGAGAAGTAAAAGGAAGTACTGTTTCTAATAACTCTACTTGGCAGAGAAGCTTCCCCCACTCCGAGACTTCACTATACCACCTTCCTACTCATTGCTAGCTTGAGATACTGGCTGGGAGACTCCAAGTTCTGCAGGGTTTGGGAACACATGACACTAACAAAGGGACAAGAGAGTACTCTGTTTACAGTAAAATGACAGTCCTGGTCTTTGCTCAGGATAAGAGATGGGCATGGCCAAAACTGGGAGATCTGGTCTGAGGTTTTGCTGCACCCCCCTACCCATGGCCACTCACCATAAGTCAACATAAAAATTTCCCAGCATTTCTGAAAAGCAGATATGCACATTTATTAAAAATAAAACTCAGCAGTAAAAATATCAATCAAGCAAACATTCTTTTGTACCATCATAGCCCCATGGTCAGTGCACACCTCTGGAGTCTGACTGCCTGTGCTCAAATCCCAGCTCTGAGGCTGACTGAGCCTTTGGGGAAGGCTACCTCTGCATCTCCAGTTGCCCACCAGGCCCTGGGTTGCAGGATCTCACATCCTAAAAGCATGGCCACATTGCTCTCAAGTCCCTCTGGTGTAGATTTTTGCCTCTTAGATAGAGATGGTAATGGGACCAGGGTACTCCTGAGTCCACTATACATAAACTGAGGAGCCTCTGACAGAGGACTCATGTATCACCCATTAGAGCACAATGCGAATGATATAAGACACAGTTGTAGCAGATCACATAGCCTCCTCACCTCAATTATGGTTCAGCTAGAAAAAGAAATCAAAGCTGGAACCCCAATATATGGCGTCTACCTTCTCAAGGAACAGGACTATCAAGTCTCCTCCATATCCCAGGCTTGGAAAGTTCCACATTATTTCCAAACTTCACAGAATATCAAATCATTTGTGAACTAGGAAAAAAAAATCCCAGGGCCACTACTACAATTCTTCCAAGATAGCTCTTATGGTTTGGAGAAGTTTTTTGTTTTTTTTTAACTTCTTATCCTGTTAACTTTTAAACATACATGAAAATAACAAGAAAAAAAGAGTATAATGAACCTGATGGTTCTATCACTCAACTCTAATATATAACAATATGTTGTGTGAATATATTTTTGACTTAAAAAAAATCAAGATAGAATCACATTTGTCAATCAAAACGGATCTGGTCGACATTGTTGAAATAGGGCCAAACACATCCTCACTTCAGTGCAAACTTGAACTTTATGAACTTTAAATAGTGCTAAACCACAATGTCTCAAGGACCAATGTGACTGAATTTTGCTGTGTGTGACCTTGTAGCTTTTCAAAATACCAAGTGTAAACCATAACCTTGCAGTTCCAAGATTTCCTCCATCAATCCTTACTGAATATGCAACAATTTATGTAATTTTTCTTAATCTTGCAATTTTTGCCTTTGAAAGCCTCCTCCATTTTTGTAGTCTGGAGGTACACATTTTGAATACATCATCTTGCATCTGTCTCCCGTGCTGCATTCCTAACAAACCCCGAATAAAACTTTGTCTGTTTAACTTGATCAGGATTTTTGCTTCCTTTCTTGGTTCACAGTGGCCAATCTTATTTTAGCCACCCACCCACTCCACTCATCTCCTCAAATCCTCCACCCCAACAATATTCTTAAGTGAATCCCAATATCTTGTTTCATCCAAAAATACTTCCATATATATTTTTAAAATACAAGAAATGTTTTTTTTAATTTCCATATTGTTAGATATTTATTTGGGCTCTACCCAGTTTGAGATATAACTGACAAGAAACTGCTTTCAGTGTAAGCAAACGTTCATTTTTAAATACCTGAGCCTCTCAGAAGGTCCTAACACCCAATTCCACTGTGCAAAACCACAGACAATTATATCAGTGACAAGAGTTGTCCCCAGACTATAAACCTGTCCTTTTAAAAAATGAGATCCCAAACCCCTACAAAACATCAGTCCATCAGGCAGGCTGCCTCCTACCAAAGAAACTCACCATTGGAAGCCATGTTGAACCTCTCTAATCCAGAGTCTTTCTTCATGATAAAGTGATGAGCTCTGAAACAGCATTAATATACCCTTGAGTGCCCACCCTAGACACACCTTAGACAAAGCCCTAACCATGGCTCCACCCCAGACACACCTCTTGATTAGCTTATCTAATCTACCTTTTCAACACCTACATTCCATTCATTGAGCACCAGTGGAAACTAATTTTCTCATTTAATCCCCAAATACCCTTGTGAAATGGGTACTATTTTATCCCCACTTAGATTGGTGAGAACTGGGAACAGAGTGGTTCAGACCACAGAGTGAGCCTCTGACCTAGGCAGTCTGACCTCTGACGTTGTGCTTATGCTATCACTATTATGTTATAGACAGACTGCAGACTGTGTGAGGACAAAAGCTTTGTCAGGCTCACAGATGATTCACATTGCATGATGTATCACTGACTAAGGAATACCAAGATTGGAAGCAGGAGACGCCAGAGACTGATATCTAATAAGGTTTATGGACATTAGATCATTGGAAAAATCATCATCTACTTAAAACAGTTCTGTGAGATAACATTTTACAGATGAGGAAACTGTAGGCCATTGGGGTTTTCTTCACCACTGTAGGAATTTGAACTTTCTCAGATGCATGGAACAAAATGTTTTTATACTCCAAGTATGGAAAACAACACATGCTTGACAACTGTTTAGATTAATTCATCTAAATTCAGAGGGATTCACATATCCCCCTTTTTCTTTAAACAAGCTGATACAAATTTATGTGGCAGATCCAAAGAACAGAGCTTTCATACATTATCTTAATTAAATTTTGTAGTGGCCCTATGTGGACATATATTACTTATATCCATTATACATATGAAGACACTGAAGCACAGAAACAGGCTAACTTACCTGAGATCAATATCCAGGAAGAGAAAAATATAAAATAAATGAAAGTAAGGTTTTTAGTTAGGCAAGTTAAAGGCCAAGATCCAGATGGAAGGAGGTCCCATGTTTTAGATTGGCTTCCAGCATAGATCATGCCTCACCAACAAGAATGATAAAAATGCATGAGGAAAAGAGAGAGAGATGCAATCATGGGTGGTTGTGTTAATGAGTTATGACTGTAAATATGTCCTATGCTGTCTGCTTGGGGTCAGAGGCAATGACGGGTCAGACAGTCCACTTGGGCAGTACCATACATTGAGGTAGTTTGAGAATATTCATGGAGCTGGAATTGTTGGGGGAATTTGGAGGTTAAGAGAATGGAGAAAATCAAAATATGACTGGACCTAAACTGTTTTATCTGATGTTTTTCCCCCAGTAATTTTCAAAATTCACATCATTTTTGGTTTTACTTTTCCTCTCAGTACCTTGAATTCACACTAGGTGGTGACCTTCCCCGTGCTATTCCATTAATCTGCTTCCGAAGCACATTTTTACCAGACACTGTTAAGTACTTGCTTTCTGTTCTTTTCTCAGCTCCATACAGGTTCATCTGTGTTCCCACTACAATATTTAGATGTCACTGGAAAAGGTCAACAATTATCCAATCTTATGGCTAGTTGTGGGTAAAACTGCAATATTTCCAGAATCTCTCTCCTGGCGTTAGTTCAACTCCATGTCAATAGGTGTTTCCAAGGGGTGGAGAGAAGTAGCCATCTCCATATCAATAGGTGATTACAGGGGGGAGCAAGGATATATCTGGACAAGAGAGGTTGGGTGGGGTCCCTTTTTTTTGCAGCTGGGTTGCAAGAGCAGAAGTGGATGACTGCTTGTAAGCAATAATTGGGTTTCTCCCACTTTATTTCTCCCTTTGATTTCGGTTCAAAAGTATTTTGCCCTGGGCTGGGAAAATATCTCCCCCACCCCTCAACCCCTGCCCCTGCCAAAAGAATTGCACTAATCTTCCCTAAATCATCAAAGATTCTTAGCCAATCTTTTTTTTTCTTGAAAACTCTTACTTCGGATTCTTTATATTAAACTTGGCTTCAAAGGATGTCCACTGAGTCCTTTATACTTCTCAAAAATACCTCGTAACAATAAAAGCCCAAAAAATACCAGGTACTGTTTATTGAGCCTGGTGATACAGCTGTGAACAGCATGAATGCAGTCTCTGCTCTCAGAAAACAAACATTCGGGTAAACTTTTAGAAGTACTTAACTCCCAATTTTCATGTGCAAGGAAAAGTCAGAACTTACTAGAACACCTAACAGGGAGTTCCATGACGTGGTCACTATTCGTCTTTAAGTCTTGCCTTGGAGACTCCGTAGCCTCCTGCAAACTTGTAGCTCCACCCAGGCTAAGCCTTTTCCGGAGTCCTGCCATGCCCTCTACCTTCTTGGATTATTCATCTTCTTTAGGTGCTTCAAAGAAAATACTCTAACCAAAAGCAAGTTGATCAAAATGGAAATCTTACTAAAACTATCATCTGGTTAAAAAGAAAAAGGTAACAATAACAACATGGGAGTTTGAGAGTTTGGTGCTCTATAGTTTTGTTTTCCTGAGGTGTTTTTCTGTGGGTTCCCCCCCCCCCCAAATTTTGGATGTTTCCTCCACTTTTTGAATTCAGGGAATTTTTTATCCATTTCCCTCATTGTTTTTGTGATGTTAATCTTAAATGCCCCAAAATATCAGTTTGCTTTTTCAAAAAAATGTAACACTTTCCACAGATGTTTGAAACATTTCATTCACTCACTTATTCAATAAATATTTCTCAACCTCTACTATGGTGTGGGTATAATTGTAATATTTCCACAATATCCCACCTGACTTTAGTGCATTAGCATATCAAAAGGCATTGTGAGGGGTTGGAGAGTTCATCTCAGTATCTATGGTTAATTACCTGGGCAACTAGGGCTTATCTGAACCTGAGATGTGAGGGCGAGGGTTGGTTTTGCTTTTAATAGAGCAGGAAAGAGAGATGGCTCCAGACTACAGTTTGTAAGCAATAAACGGATTTTAAACTTTATTTCTCCCTTTGACTTATTTTGGTTCTAGAGGTATTTTGTCGCAGGATTTCCTCTCCCAGGAGTTACATGTGGCCAAACTGGCCTGTGCAGAGTTAGCAATAATGTGTTTGTTACATCCAAGTTTGTATCATTTTTTCTTTTCTTTTTACAAAGTCTCTAGGGGCTACTTTTATCTTTTTCTTTCTCAATGTACATGTGCAAGTAGAATTATTAGGTGTTTACACTTCCTTCCATCCCGTAAGTCCGGGATCAGGAAATCCCAGGGCAAAAATACTTCTAAAACTGAGATCAGTCAAAGGGAGAAAATAAAGTTTAAAATCCATTTATTGCTTACCAACTGCAGTCTGGAGGGCTGTTTCTCTCTCCTGCTCCAGCAGAAGCAAAACTGGCCCAACCCCTCACCTCTCAGGTACAGATAAGCCCTCTGTTGCCCAGATAATTACCCATTGATATGGAGATGAACTTCTCTCTACCCCTGAGGAATTATGCAAATGCACTAAAGCCATACTTCTTTCCACCTCTGAATGCCTATTAATATGCAGATGTACTAAAGCCAGGCAAGATATTCTGGAAATATTATAGTTTTACCCACACATCCCTTACCCTATGCTGAAATACTGGTTATTCCTGAGAAGTAGATCTATGTCAAACTGTATTCAATGTGCAGCAGTATTCCACAAAAAAGAGTAAAGTTAGTTATGCAGGTATGAGGATAGCTTGAATGGTTAACTCTTAAGTCCTCAAGCCTCAAGGGAGTAAACTGAGAACAGGTCTAAGGGCTCTATGACAACCCCCAAACCAGCCCTAAAAGTCAACGTCTGAATCTGTGGGAGAGAAATAAAGGCTTACTTTTCACAGCCATTATGTTAGGCAGCAAAATAGGTGTGAGTGGGGTGGAGAGAGAATAAAGCCAGTAAAGCCCTCTAAAAGGGACTCAGAGAGTTAACCAAATAAAAACAAAGAGCCAGAAAGGACTCACAAAGTTAATTAGTTAGTTGAAGTTTCAAAGTCCAGGAGTGACTTGGAATGTCCAGGTATTATCCAGATAAATAAACAGTCCCCCAGGGACTTCTCTGGCCTAGGTAGGGCAGAGAAATAGGACAAAGGTCAAGCCATTGTAAAATCTACTTAGCCTGTGAAAAAGGCACAGTTTACTCATTAACTTAATCTATAGGCTGTTCTTCCTCTACTACCAGCCCCTTAATCAATTAAGTAACTTTGTAACCAAGACAGGAGACAGACCTCCAAAGTATAAATAAACCTATGTGGATAAAGAACGCTGCAATCTGGAACAATATAGACACCTAAATAACCCTATTCTTAAAACAAAGCTTCAAAGTAATTATAAATCACCTGTATACATCATGCCTTATGCTGACTCCTACCCAAAAAGACCCTACAAGACCACAGACCCTACGTTCTTAAGTGTGCCTCTTCTCTGAGGTTGCCCACACTCCTCTTTCTTTGAGCGTGTTACTCTCTGTTCTACTCCAGAGAAGTAGGAAGGGGCTACTGAGAGCTCTGATTTGGGCTTGCAAGTTCCTGTTACCTGGGTTACCTGGCCAGGACTGCAGTTGTACTACCATGCTCTTTAGCAGCCTGCCTGAAAAATCTCCTTA